ACAGAAATTTTAATGGAAATAAGAGCATTCAAAGGCTTTTGAGCAAATCAATAAAAAAATCAACGAAATTACTTATCTTTCATTTCCAGAATCTTTAATTTCATTTCTAGATTTATTTACATTCAATTCAATTTCTTCAATTTCATTTCTAGGATCATCTTGATATAATTTTTCTCCCAATATCAATTCATTTTCGTGCTTCTTTGATATTTCTACAAGTTCACGAATGCATTTATTTTCATTTTGCATATATATTCCTTCATGTGCTTTGGATTTCTTCATTTCTTCATACTTCAAATCTATTTCATTTTCCATATAGGTTCCATCATGTGTTTTGGATTTTTTAATTTGTTCAAACTTCAAATCATTGTCATTTTCCATATACGTTTCTTCGTGAGCATTAGATTTCTGGATTTGTATATACTTCAAGTCTTTTTCATTCTTCATGTACATTCCTTTATGTGCTTTGGATTTCTTCATTTTTTCATGCTTCAAGTCTTTTTCATTTTCCATATACATTCCTTCATTTGCTTTGGATTTCTTCACTTGTTTATACTTCAAATCTTTTCGATTTTTCAAACTCATATCACATAGTGGTATTTCTTTTTCATGGTGTAGGAAGGAATAATTTTCTCTATTTATTGATTCATTCTTTGTATTATTTGTATCCATTAGTAACGGTTCCCTTGTTATTTTCTTAATCTTTTTTCTTGCTTTTTTTTTTTTTGACTTCCTATTACGAATCCAAGATCCAATGGGAGTATACTATAATTCAAATTAAAAAATAAAAAATTATAAAAATTCTTCATTAATATAATTGTGATTTTAAATATATATGTTTCTTCATTTTTAAATGTTAATTTTATCTTACTTTACAAAGAAGAATCAAAAAAAAAATAATTCCTAAAAGAAAAATACCTCCTGAAACCATTGGTATTAGTAAATCACCTTTAGGTGTAACCGTAGGCGGAACTTCGATAGGGTCACTTGATGTGGTTGGCGTAAAAGTATATGGAACAGTCGCATTTGGACATGGTAAAGTGTTTTCAGTACAATTTCTTCCATTTACATGTTGTTGAACCTGTTTAAGAGGGACATGTGTATTTGGTGGGATCTGCGGTTGGATAATATCTGTCTGATTTGAAGGTAAATTGTTATTTGTTGTAGGAAAAAAGGCAGTTGGTGTTGTGAGAATAGGTACTTTATCTAGAGAATTCGAAAGTGGAGTTGGAGATATAGTATCAGGCATACGAGATGTAGTGTTAATTGCAGGAGATATAACGTCAGTTTCAGGAGATGCAATTTGATTTGTAAATGGATCAATGGTAGCAGTAGAATTTTCAATGGTATTTGTCAAAAAAGGTGAAGTTGCAGTTTTATGAGTAACTTCATTAGTAAGATGAATAGACATATCATTTGTACGTGATGTAGAATTATTTGTAGATGGCAAAGTTGTGATTTTAGGAATAGATGAAGGTAGTGGAGGTGTAGAACCATCTGTAGGAGTTGTAGACATAGTTGTAAGAGAAGATGCAATCTCAGGAGAAGAAATAGGATCAATTGAAGGAGATGCACTGTCATTTGTAACAGATATATTGCCATTTGTAGGTATACTTTTATTTACAGAAGTTACAGTTTCAGAAGGTAATGATAAAGTTGCAGGAGATTTAGTGGATGTTGTAGAAGCTGTAATATTATTTGTAAATGTCTTCATAGTAGTATTAGAATATTCATTGGTCGTTGTAGGAGATATTTCTCCAGGTAAAGGTGTAACTGAAGGTGTACCACTACTTGTAGTAGAATTTGAAGGTAATGTTTCAGTTGTAGGAGATGTTACAACCTCAGGGGAATGTGATGATGTGGTTGTATCAGATATAGTATTAGTATTAGAATGTATTGTAACTTTTGGAGTTAATGAATTGGATTGTGTTGAGTTATCTGGAGAAATTGTTAATGCAGTTCCTGGGACAATTTGATCTACAGTAACTGGTGGTACTGAGGTGACATTTGTTAATGTATTTTCAGAGGAATTTACACCATTTACTTTATTAACACTAGTCGTTTTGCTACCGAATGAATCCGTAGCGGTATCATAATGTAATTCATTAGGAGTTATAGTTGTAGGTTGTAAGCCATCTGGTAATGCAGTTGTATTATATGAAGTTTCTTTAGGTTTATTTTGATTGCTATTTGAAGAACGCCAATCTAAATTATAAGGATCATCTGTATTTTTTCGTTCTTTAAATTGATAAATTAATTTTGTCATATTACATTGATTATTAGTAATTTGTAACGCATAAGTTTGTAAATTATTACTATGATCATTCCATACTCTAATAGAATCATTTATATATATTTCATCTGTATAAAATTCATTGGCGAACATATTAACAAATTGCATTCCTCTCTTATATATATACATACTCCACTTTGCACAATTAAGTTCAGTTTTATTTTCATTATATGCATTGTAATAGTAATCAGATATATCATAAGTAACATTGTGAAACCTATTCTGTCTATTTTCAATAATTTTAGTTTTATTTTGTTCATATTGA